GGTTGGTCCATCTTGTACAGTCTGGCAAAAAGCTATCGTTACTCATTACACAAACTAGTGTGAAACATTGATGAAGTATTGTGAAATAGTGTGGCAAGCCAGTTAGCACCATAATCCTATGTATGTAGGGTTTGTAAACACATACATGACATGTCCTAATAAACCGCAAGTAAAGGTAAAGATAGTTTTATTCCTGACTGTACATGTTTTCATTTTCTCACTTGTGTGTTTTTCTTTCTTTTCTTTTCTTTTCTTTTCTTTTCTTTTCTTTTCTTTTCTTTTCTTTTCTTTCTTTCTTTTTCTTTTTTTCAGACAAACATATTTTCTTTTAATTGCATTATTGTTAAAAAAATTGAAACTAACATCAGTATATCTTACCCTCCAGGTATCAGTAAATGCTTTATTCTTTTTTTATGCATTCCTTTACTGATGAAATTAATACACTTTAATTACATCCTCTGTGTTTCTTGAATTAATAACATATTTTATCATGGCAGAGGGTGAGAGTGAGGAGAAGGAAATATTAAAGCCCAAGAGAAGAATCTATGAGGTTTTGATCGAAGACAAGACCAAGAAGGAGATTTATCTTAGGTTCTCTGAGGCTGCTGTCTCTGAATTACATCTTGCACATGATGAGGAAGTCACGGTGGAAGTGCAGTTTCAGCTGAATCGACTGCCACTTTGTGAGATGCATTCTGCTCTGGACCGCTTGCCATCCCTAGATATCGTGTTCCCGGACATGACCCTGGAGCCCACCATCCCATGGAGCCCCATAAAGTAAGCTTTAACATGCAGCAGATTTTTAAAGGAGAAATTAAAATAGATTTGTATGGAGCAAGATGTATCCTTGTAAGAAGCACATAGTCATAGTGTTTAGTTAATGTAGTTTGCTCAGTAGAATTGCTTGATTATTCACCACTTGTTCATCTGGAACCATGTTTGTTAAACAGTCATTGATATTGTATTTTCTTTTGTGTGTGAGAACTAACCTGCATTCAAGTGTATTGCATAAGCCTAGATTACTAAACAGTTAGTCTCATTAAAAGAAGGAATACAGGTGATGAAGTAGCATTATAGCCAAAGTTAAGTTGTTTTTAAAGTAATATCCTTCCTATTTTTTCAACTGCTTCGTACCATTTTGTGTTATTTTTGTACATGTGTCATAACATCCTATCCTCTGCAGTATCAAATGCAACAGTTAAAATATTATTCATTCATTTGCAGTGTCTCTCTTTGCAGACAATGGGGAGAAGGTCTGGACATGAGATTGAACCCCAAGCAGAAGGAGGCTCTAGTTGCCATCACAGCTCCTCATGGACTTATTCTGCCTCCCATTCTCATAATTGGTAAGTAAACGCTGTTTCCATCTGGACCTCAGATGATTGTATGATATGAGATATGAAATGGGATATGAAAAAATGACTTGATTATGAGTTCACTTATTTTTTTTCCTTAGATTTAAATCATTGAAAGGGGATAAGATGCTGTTGATTAGTTTAACAAGTGTGGGGGAAATGTGACTTTTGTTATAATCATTATACTTATTGATGTTGAGAACTTAGAACTTACCCATTAGGTCTTATTAGTCTATTAACATACATTCTTTGTATGGTTTAACAACATTGGAAAAAATGTCATATTTATTTTAATCTCTATAGTACTGCATTTATTAGGTCCATATGAAAACCAGTTTAGCAAATCTTGTAATTTGGCTTGAGGAGTGGGTGACATGAACATAGTCATGGAAAAATCTGGCTGTGGTTTGGGTAATGCCAATTTGTTGTCATGAGTGTTTTGGCTGAAGGCTGGGGTAATGGAAAAGATTTGCCATGAATGCTCAAAGCTCTTGAAAGATAATTAAGGTCCTTTGGCATTTAAAAAAGGGCTTTTGCATTATTCCCCTTGAGAAATAAGTGTGGAATGTAGTGTCCATAAGGCCATGACTGGAAGAACACAGGCTCCAGGGACAACTCCATTTCCTTGCTCAGTATCCTGTTCTTGGCTGCTTTGTTTAGGTCGTATTGCAGGAAATTACAAAAGAATAATAATAATGATACAAATATCTTCTTTTTTTTCACTGAGTTGTTTACTACCTTCAGGGATAATATGAGTCTATCCAAGGAAAACAGTTTATTACCATCTGGATAAAGCAAATCAAATGACAAATATGAACATTAGAATATGGCAAAAAAAAACTAAAAATGTTTATCCATAAAAGAAGATAATTATATTGTAAAGGGGAAGCACAGAATCTTGTCACTGCACATGAATGTTCATGTGCTCCTGGCCTATATGCCATGCACCTAGCAGAGCAGCTGCTCATGTAAGCCTAATACCTGTATTTTAGTCCATGTGAGTGCCATAAAGCAAGTGGATCCAAAGGGTTAAATATTGAAAAAGATGTTTGTAATTTGCCTTTGCTGAATCTCATATGATTATTGAAATGGTACTAGAGAAGGAACATAGTGCATAAAAAAATTATACTTAGAGTAATTAAAGAATGGCATTATTGTTAAAAACTAAAAATAAATATATAAATAAATAAATAACTTATGAAACCTTGGAATTATTGAGATTATATGAATTACTACCCTAATATATCTCAGTGTCTTGTTTATGTCAAGAACCATTATCAGAGAAGAAAAAAAAGGTTATTACACAGACAAAAAGATGTATTACTAATGTGTCTGTCTGTATATATAAATCCTTTGGATTTATATATACATATCTTTAGATTGTGGCCCCTTCCATTCTGCTATATGGCCCCCATTTTTGGAACCACTGCTCTAGGTAGTCCGTAACTTGGTACATGATGATAACAATAAGTAATATATTTCTGTTTTTTAAATATTTAATTTTCTACAATACAACCTGTGCTGCCAGTCATAGTAGCCAGGACTAGGATCCTGAGCATGGAAATAGTGTCCTCCCAGGAGCTAGCACTCTTCCAGTTGTGGATTGTGGATGGTATATTTCACACTCATTTACTGTTACGAATAATGCAAGAGCCCCTTCCTAAATGCCCACTGAGTCTAATCACCCTCCAAGAGTTTTGTACACTTGTGGGGAGTCAGTCTTGTCATCCTAATCTTCAGCTGAAATTCTCATTCATGTTCCTGTCACCACGGCTCTCATGCAAGTTTTCTAATGCCAATAGGTTTACATTACCTGGCCCTCAAACCATATTTTTTCATTAGATGACGGTCATATCACCTAGACCCAAGGAGTTAGAGTGCTATACCAGTGAATGTATGATGATACGTCTCATAAATAAAGTCACTTTATCTGTATACTTTAAATAACTCATTTTTACAGGTCCATATGGTACAGGAAAAACATATACTCTAGCTCAGGGTATTAAGCAGATTCTGCAGCAGCCTGACACAAGAATTCTCATTTGCACACACTCCAACAGGTAACTTTTGCATGACTGTCTCTGTATCTGTATTATGGGTGAAAGAATTAGAAAGTAAGCAAGTTTTTTTCCTTCTGTTTTTATGAATTTATAAAATTGTTATATACACTAAGTTTTATAATTTCTCTTGCTCTCAGTGCTGCAGACCTGTACATCAAGGATTATCTGCATCCATACGTACAATCAGGACATGAGGAAGCAAAGCCACTCCGCATATACTATCGAAATCGTTGGGTTACAACTGTACACTCCAGCGTGCAAAAGGTAGGAAACTTCAAGTTTTACTAAGGAGAATTTTTGTTACTGAAGTTGAGTTTACTTTTGTATATAAAAAAAAATGTCTTTCATTGTCATATGTTAGATGCTTAGAGCATCATTAGAGGACAAAGTTTGAAAGAGTTACTGCACATGCCCCTTGCATATGAATGAAAATAGGGATAAATTACCATATGGAAATATAACACATTTACGTCAACAAAATAAGTACTTCAGTGTAATTATAAGTATGTAGATGACCCTATAATAGGTAATAAGGGTAGGGAATGTGGGGGATTTGGCTGGATGAAATGTGCTAAACAGTATGGAATTATTAATTCACACTTACAACATCTAAACTTCTCAGACAGTACCATATTTACTAGTGAACACACCACATATCTCACTAATAACAGAAAAATTGCAATAAGAAAGCCAGCCAGTTTTTACAACTGTTGCAGTCATGACAATCAGTATGGGCCGCACATGTGGAAATACAGAATTATAGTGAATAGGAATCTGGGGTCTTAAAGACTGTTCTTCTCATTTTGTGTCCTTTCTTTCAGTATTGCTTGATTGAGATGGATCAGGGTGTGCGGAAATTTGTTATGCCAACAGAAAAAGAGATTTTAGCACATCGAGTGATTGTAGCAACTCTCAACACCTCTAGATACCTTGCATCTCTCAATCTGGAGAAAGGTTAGTACTTAGTGTACGGAACCCTCCCCGAATCCTTTGCCCATTGTTGTCTTGGGATGGGGGGGGCTTAGGAGATGGAGACTGAAGCCCAAGGTAGGAGTTTATCCCTACCTTGGGCCTCAGCCCTCACCTCAATTAAATTCTCGTCTTCATCCCTTCTGTCCACTACCAAACACTTTCGCTCCAGAGCCTGCTGCCCTCTATGTACCCAACTTGGTACATGTAATACAATCTGCACCACTGGTCACAGCGGCCAGGAATAGAATCCTTAGTTCAGAAATAGCATGGAGCTGGCACTCTTCTAGCATGGCTAATGGACAGTACATTCCACACTCCTTTATCAGTGGAAATAATGGAAAAGGCTCTCCTGAATGACTGAGTCTATTCATGTAGCAAGTCAGCCTGGTCTTCAGAAATTCTTATGATGGCAAGTTCACATCACCACGGCCATCAGCCGAAAGGTTCATGATGGCAAGTTAGCATCACTCTGGGCCTCAGCCAAATTTTCCCAATACAGCATATTCACGTAACCTGCCCCTCAAGCCAAATTTTTCATGATGTGATGGTCACATCATCTGGATCATAGGGGTTAACCTACTTTGTGGCAATAGATTTTAACTAGATTGGTTTCCCTATGTTGCCAATTATATATATATATATATATATATATATATTATATATAGATAATGATAGATAGATAGATAGATTTTTTTTTTTTTTTTTCAGAGCTTAGTCATTGTAAGATTCTCAAATATTATATACTTATAAAATCATTATTTAAACATAAACAAACTTCCTGACTCAGATATACTAGGCATACCAGAAAGTTGTTTATTTTGAACACAAATATATATTACGAGTAATTAATTGAGCTTCTGACTTGATTTTTCCCATAATAACGTAGAATGCATCATTTTCATAATTCATCCTATATGAACAGCATCTAGAAGCCCAATTCTTCAACAGCAAATAGTTTTCTGATTAGAATGAAATGGCAGATGCTGGACAGCACCAAAAGTAAAGTAAATGAAAATTGAGATAAGGGCATTAGAAATTTAGACACTTGTTAAAGGAAATTTTTATCTATATTAAATTTTCACTAAAGCTAATGATGTTAAGAGGATAGTCATCATATAATCTGGGGTACCCATGATATGGGACCTAGAATTTTTTACAATCTCTCTCTCTCTCGTTCACTCTCTCTCACACTCCTCTCTCTCTCCTCTCTCTCTCTCTCTCTCTCTCTCTCTCTCTCTCTCTCTCTCTCTCTCTTCTCTCTCTCTCTCTCTCTCTCTCTCTCTCTCTCTCTCTCTCTCTCTCTCTCTCTCTCTCTCTCTCCCCCTCCCTCCCTCCTCTTGCTCTCGCTCCCCCTCCTCCCTCCTTCCCTCCCTCCCTCCCTCCCTCCTCCCTCTCCTCCTTCCCTCCCTCCTCTCCTTCCCTCTCCCTCCCTCCCTCCCTCCCTCCCTCCTCCCTTTCTCTCCCCCCACCCTTTCCCTCTCCCTCTCTCTCTAAAATTCTTCCCCTGCCATCTCCTTGCTCCCCTTTATATTTCATTATTCGTTGGTCCTTCTAGGAGTGTTCACCCACATCCTCATAGACGAGGCGGCTCAAGCTATGGAATGCGAAGCCCTCACACCAATGGCTTTAGTAAGGCCAGACACCAGGATCGTTTTGGCTGGGGATTACATGCAGCTGAGCCCAGAGGTGAGATTCTTGTTGAATAATGATAGGAATACTTGGTTACTTACTTAGTTACTTGGTTTAAGTTCTAGCGAGGGCCATGACCTTTGTACCACATATAAAGTTTGATGAACATCTCGGAACCAGTTTTAATCATAGTAACTCCTGCTTAAAACTTTGATTCCATACTTGGTACTGATATTCCTCTTTTACTACAAATAATAAAAGAGATAGATATTTTTGATGAAGTTATTAGTATTAAGCCTTTTAACCCAAGGGCCTCAACCACCAAGTTGGCTGAAGTGTGGATGCCCTAAGCTCAAGCAGCTGCATATGAAGTAGTTCATTGCTAGTTTGGTAATTCTTTATTGTTTATTATGCATAATAATGATAATATAAGATCTTTCATCCAATTTTGGAGGTCTGTATTTTTGTATGCCTCTAGGGCATAGTTCACACCAGAGCATGCGGCAGGCTGTATGCAGCACAAACCGTGCCAGAGACTGTTGTGTAATGAATGTCATAGAAAATTCTGGCCCCATCATGGTAGGGTTAACTTGTTGGAATATAACTTGCAAGTGGGCATAGAGTAATTTAGCCATTTCAGATGTCTTGATGAAAAAATGTCTGATTCAAGCTGCAAAGAGAGAAAGAGATAGAGAGAGAGAGAGAGAGAGAGAGAGAGATGGGGGTGTACGAAAGAGAGAGAGAGAGAGGAGGGTACGAAAGAGATAAAGAGAGAGGATGTACGAAAGAGAGAGAGAGGGGGGGGAGGTACAAAATAGAGAGAGAGAGGGAGGAGGGAGGGAGAGGGTGGAGGGAGAGGGGGGGGAACAAGAGAGAGAGAGATTGAGAGAATGAATGAGAGAGAGAGTGAACAAATGAGAGAGAGAGAGTATTTGTTGATTAGTAATAATGGTCTTCATATCAAATTTGTATTATTATTTTCAAGCAGATGGAGTTGCATTATCATACCTGCATAGACTAGGTACTTAATCGTCAATAAAGCAATGCTTGAGTAGCATTTATTAGTAACTGCAACTTCCTTCTCTTCATTTATATATGTGTATATTTCTCCAATTCTCCATCCACGTTTTTATCTTTTTTATTTTCTTCAGTGTTTTATAGTATTCATTTTAAATTTGTATTCATTTTACCAGGTTGCAAAACCTGCTCTTAAGTTTCTGGAATTGTTGCATCACCTGATTTAGTTTTTACTGCCATTCAACCCATTGCACCATCTCATGGTTCCATTACTTATATATTATCTTTAACCCAAATAGGTATTCTCACCCTTTTGTGAAGAGCGAGGTCTTGGCATGTCCCTGCTAGAGCGATTATATGACCTCTACCCCGCTGACTCACCTTGCAAAATCATGCTGGTCGAGAACTACAGGTCTCATTCGGCTATTATTAAGGTAAGAAAAGGAAGGAGGGATGGAGAGAATAATTTGTTCTTGGTAGCACACACTACACCCACAAGCAGATGTGTATACCATGGCTTGCATGACATTATGCCAGACTGTACCCTCTTTGAAGGGTTGTACTGGATGGCATGATGTCTTTCGTGGTATGCCCACAAAGACTTCTCTACTGTCATCGTTTGAGGTTGTGTAGACAGACAGACTTGAATTGAGCATTTCGGAAGTCTATAACAGGTAGCAGCTTCCAGAGGTGATGCAAGGGTCCTTATATCCACCAAAGTGTAAATGTGTTATCAGCGAATCAAACCTGAACAAGGACATGGTTTCGATAAAGATGGGCAAGGATGCCAGAGGATTCATATACAGGAGCAACTGTCTATGTAGTTGCAGCCCCAGCCCCATTTCTTTATATGGGTGTAGTTGCTTCTGGCTGGCATAACAAATTGTCCCTATCTTCTTGGTTTCCCATAACTCCAGCATCAGGAAGCAGTCAGAAATCTTAAGAGGCATAGTGGTTGCTTCCAGGTGGTCAAGCTTGATCCCGGAGATGCAGAAAAATCACTATGCCTCATCACAGCTTCTCACTTCTGCCAAATGACTTCTGCATGAAGTCCCTGGTTTGGCTACAAAATGTACCCAGCGTTGAATGGGTTAAGCTACCTCGGAGAGTGGCTGATTATAGTCATTAGAATAATCCAACTCTTATTCAGCATCACTCTCAGCGGTAATGGCAGATAGATAGTCACAGTCTGCATTGATAATGTTCTAGTCCTTGTTCTTGAATTCTCAGTCAGAATGTAAGGATTAGGCTGGTCTCTGATATTTTCAGGGTCATGATCAGGGCTAGCTGAAGGTGTCTTGTCCTCACTTTCCTCTCTGAAACCAGGTGTGGTCTGTAAGTGGTGATGGGAAAAAGGGGCATCGCTCAGCATTCTTGCAGTCCTCTCCCTCAAGATGGAAAGTTAACCTTTGGATCTGGTTGTCGCATAGCGGAAAATATGGGTATCGGTTACGTAAGTGGCCGCTTGGTGGGGCATGTGATGTGTAGGCCAGGTGCTCACGAGCACTTGTGTGTGGTGACAAGACTCTGTCTCCCTGTTGCAAAATTATTTTGCATAAACTTTTTTAGTGTTTTTGCCATTTTCCAATGTCTGTATTTGTCTTTTGATTTACTTTATCCAGGTGGTGATAAATTATTTTCCTTGCAGACTCTTTGTGTAGTAAATGACATTTGTTATTTATGTCATATATTTCATATTTTTGTCATTTTCAATTTTTCGTAATTTTGAACTTTTCCTAAATACAACCTGCACCACCTGTCACAATGGCCAATAGTGGCCAATAGACTGAAGCTGAACATGGAATACCGCCTCACCCAGAGCCAGCGTTCTTCCACTCACAACTTACACACATTACATTCTACAAGTTTATCTATGGGAATAATACAAAAGCCCCCTTCTAAACATTAAATGAGTCTACTCGCACTCCAAGAGGTTTGTGCATTTGTGGCGAGAATTTTCATCACCCTAGCCTTCGCTCATGAGGCAAGTTTGCGTTATCTGGCTCGCGGCCATTTTGCCCAATTATGGCTTGTTTACATCACCTGTCCCATGACCCAAATTTTTCCATGACTGGATGGTCATTTCATCCAGATCAAGGGGGATAAAGATCATCAGGATTGCTGTCAAACTGCAGGCCGTGGATGGAAGGGGAGTATCTTGATGATTGGCAGCACATGGGGCTTAATTGAAATCCATTCGGTTGTCTAGCCTGGAATGGCCTATTGACCTCTTGCCCACCCTTTTATACTCTCTTGCTGTGATGTCACAACCAATCATGAAAGAGTGTTAATGAAGGTAGGTTCCTGCCAATCCAGGTCATCCATGTGACCCATTTTAGATAATTATGAACCTCAATCCTTGCCCATTGGGGTAAGGTAGGAACAGGAGGGTGAGGTCAAGTCCTCACTTAACCCATTAACACCGGTATATTTTGAAGCTGAAAATAAGAGATTCCGGGCGGCTACAAAATCGGCAGGCAGAGCTGCCCCGGAGTCTGTCCGCCCACCAGTGTCACACTGGCAGTACACCCGGCTATGTTTATTTTTTCAGGTGTCTCATATGTGGGACACCCGTCGTTAGTGGGTTTAAAGTCAGAAGAAAAAAAAAATGCTCTTCTATTTATTTTAATGTTAAAAGCATGCCTAAGCAACAGAGCAAATAAGTATCCTAAGTCTGAAAGATAGAGGTGCTAGCTAGCTTAGGCAACCAAAAGTTCAAGATTGTCAGAAAATATTGACAATCCCATCAGTGAATAAACATCACACTCATTGAGAAATGTAGACTGCCAGAGCTTAATTTCAGTGATGGTGGTTGAAACACCTCTGCTACTGGGCATTTTGATAGTAGCCATATACTGTGCCATGAAAAAAGGTTGTCTCCCCCCCCCCTCTCTCTCTCTCTCTCTCTCTCTCTCTCTCTCTCTCTCTCTCTCTCTCTCTCTCTCTCTCATCTCTCTCTCTCTCATC